ATGGAATTTGAAAGCAGGTTATCTAAGCAGCCATCTTTTTTGAACAGCCTTGGTGGCACAGTGGTTAGAGTGCAGTACTGCAGGCTATTTCTGCTGACTGACTGCAATTTGGCACTTCAAATCCTAACAGGCTCAAGGTTGACTCAGCCTTCCATTCTTCTGAGGTGGCTAAAATTAGGGGCCCAAATTGTTGGGGGCAATATTCTGACTCTTTAAACCATTTAGAGAAGGCTATAAAGCACTGCAAAGCAGTATATAAGTCTAAGTGCTATTGCTAAGTGCTAATAGTTCCTCCCCATCCAATTCAGTTGAGTAGATTGGGGATACCGAGGGCCCTGTCAACGAAGGAATATTAGCTCAGGCAACATGTCTCCTTAGCAGTAAACCCTTTCCTCTGGAACAGTTTTCTTTTGAAAATGACCCAAACCCCATTAGCCTTCCATAATGCTCTAAAGGAGGGCTGTCAAGCTCCTGGGCCATGCGTCATGCGTTGGCCACGTCCACACCCGGTTTAACAAAGGGGGGAAAGTTCCGATACATCATGTGACACTACCAGTGTGAGTTTGACACTCCTTCTCTAAAGCAAGGCTCTCCAAACTTGGCAACTTTAACACTTGTGAATTTCAACTCCCAGAATTTCCCAGCCAGCATGGCTAGCTGAGGAGTTATGGGAGTTGAAATCCACAAGTCTTAAAGTTGCCAAATTTGGAGACCTCTGCTCTAAAGACCTGGAACCCTGAAAATGTCAGAGGCCATAGTAGTTGAACTGAAGTGTTATGAAATTATGATAATTCTTTGTTGCCTATTTGTGTTTTTATAGATTTAATTGTAGTATTGTTTGGCACCCAAGATCAACTGGATTTAGATGCATGACTATAGAAATGGAAAATAAGTGAATAAATAAATAAATGTAATTGACACCCCAATCAATAGGGAGGCACAGAATTTAGTTGAAGGGTTCTGATTCCCATTTCCATTTCTAGGCACAATTATATCAGGGCCTGGCTTCAGTGACGACAGTGTTGCCCTTACAATAGAAGGCAAAATAGCATCCCTCAATCTCTACTCTTGGAAAGCTTCATCTTTCCTCTGTTCATGTTTCTGTTCACTGTCATAAAAACACTATTTCTCCCACACCCCGACTTTCTCTCTTTAAAAATGTGAAATTTTTGAAATTTGAAAAATTTGATATTTTGAAAAATTGAAAGTGCTCCATCACTGGAGGTTTCTAAGAAGAAACTGGACAGCCACTTACATCTCTGTTATTCTGTTCTGTTAATTCTGGCAGTAGCTGCTAGAACATTGGCTTCTCCTTCCCTTGACCATACTTTGTGATAGATAAATAAGAATTGATCCCGCCAGTCAGGTTTGTTTTAAACAGCAGTAAAAATCCTTCATAGACGTTTGACACCAGAGCAGCAGAAAATAGAAAACAGAGAGAACAATTTGGGAGGAAGCCAAAGGATTTTGTTCTAGGTCTTATAAGCCAGATGGGCCTGTTTGTAAGAATGTACTAGGTCCTCAAGAGCATCCTTGGTGCAAGATCATGAAAACACTGGCTTTGAACCATGCTGTATTATGAATCATAGCAGGAACAAAGAAGAAGTTGAGGCATTAAGTCCTATCACCAAAACATGGTTTTTACTTCCCAAATGGGCAAAAGAAGCACATTCACCAACGTTTCCCACAACATCACCACAATTCTATACCATAATTGTCACTTGTTTACAAAGTGGAATACAGCAGAAAGTCATGCAGGAACATAAAAAGCACAGCCTTTTTCTGCTTATTATCTTCTGGGTCAATTTCTCTCTCCCAAGAAGTCATAGCATTATATATTTTTCTTTAAATGCATAGTTTCAGTCATCCATAGCAGCCACTTTAGGTCAGACAGTATTATCTCCATCCTGTAGAATGGGCTGAAGCTGGCAGAGAAGGAAAAGCCTATCTAGGTCCATACAAAAACATAAATGAGTTTGTTATCAAATAATTAAATGTTATTTATGTTTGCATATTAAATGTTTCTTATATTTGTACATTGAAAAATAAAAATTCCATATTTAACTCATTACCTTTAAAATAAAATATGGCTATATGAACATATTTTTGTTACTTCCCTACCCACTTCAACTTCAAGTTTTGCCACTGAATTACTAACATCTCCTTTCCAAAAATGTCTGCTTTGGAGACTATAGATTTAGTTGAACTTGCAAGTTTTAAACCCTTTATTTAAAAAATGTAAAACTCTCTGCAGCTTCAGTTGAAACATTAAGCATTTTTAACAAGAATGATAATACAGAAATTGATCTACAATAGCACCCTTGAAAACCACATTTCAGATTCCTTTCAGTATGATTGCAACTATTTCCAGAGATACCAATTTGCTTAATTAAACTTTCTAACTAGAATTACTTCACAAGAGAAACAAGAATTCATACTCTTGGTCTTGGGGACTCTTATCGTCTCTTCCTCCTGCTCCTCTTGAAGATCTTTACTTAGTAACCCCTGCAGAATTGCCTGGTCTCTTCCTTTTGCAACAAAAGAGGTATATTGGTGTATGACATGAAAGACTTGCATAGGAAGCCTTTTCCCAGCAGCCCATCATGAGATTGTTATTGTTTAAGTTGGACATTGGCTATGTTTATAAGTATCTACCCTTTGAAATAAACATGCATTTGTGGTTCAACAAGAAGCATATGGAGGTAGGACAGCAGGGTTAAAAAAAAAAGCTGTGCAGAAAGATAATTGGGCATAGTTTCATCTGCCCAGGTGGCTGCCCAATACTCAGAAAACACTCCACAGAGACTAAAGTAATTCCTGGATACATGTTTACTTTGCATTCCCCAGCTCTCCCTGATTGAAACCAAGCAAGCTTTCCCAGAAAGGCAAAATACTGTTTCGCCTTAGTTTTTACTAGGTTTACTCCATCTGCATACCCCCTGTATTTTCTTCCCCCAGTAAAACACTGGGGGAGGGCGCAGCATTGTTTCAAGATTTAATAGCTTTCCTCCAAAATGAAAATAAAAATGGAGTTACCATTTTCTGAGGTGTCAAGCTACACACTTGTTTACAGGAACTTTTCAGTACTGAATCTGGCAATGTCCCGTCTGAGAATCATCTCCCTTCACTCCTTTTAGTCCCAGTCATTTAGAAAAAATACAAGGAGAATGAGAAACAATTTAACTCCACCATCCCTAGGCTTGTTTGCTCTGTCTCTGAAGTCAATCCTATCATTCCTCATCAGCTCACACACCGCTGCTTTCTGCCCACTTCTCATCATTCAAACAGAACTTTTCAAAGCAGAACAACTAGCAAAATGAAGGAACGTTATGGCTTTTTCTGGAAAGGATGGTAATAGAAATCCTAGGTGAAACTTCACCACAAAAAAGTATTGACCCCTTAAAACAGGAATAAAGTTGTAAAAGAGAAGATCCAAACCAATACGTTCATAAACAGGAGAAAAGAGGTACATTTCAATGCAGATGTAAGGATTTTCTCTGTCTCCCTCCCCTCAAAGTCTTCAATATGCACCTTCCCCCCGCCTCACAACAATTAACTACCATCTTGAGTGCCCACTGAGACTGGGTTGAAGTTGACCGCCTCCTGTCAACTCAATAGATAAAACTGTCCAACCCCCTACCCCCCCAGTCATTCTCTCCCGGTTGCCCCTACTACTTCAATGTGCTCCATCTAGATAATAACCATAGAATTCAATTCAAATTGACCGAGATTCTTAGATAAAAACCCTTTCTACAACAAAAGAAAACAAAGTACTTACCCCTGAGTAAATGTAGAATTAAGAATTCCAGGACCTTATTGAAGGAATTATTTGCACATTAAACTCAACTTCTCATTTTGCTAAACGTTCCTGATTCCCTCTGGTGCTTTTCTCCACAGTGCAGGAGAGGAAGTTGGGATTCTGAATAGTATTCTTTTTTTTTTAAAGACAAATTCCTCCAACTGGATAGACACCGTGAAGAACTGAACTGCCTTTTGGTGGAAGAAGCTCAAAACGGGATTGTCTCTAATATTACAATCAAGGCCTCCTCACTCACTGACCCAAACTGTAAATGAAAAGCAGATTTGCTCAAAGAGCAAATGGTTGTTTCTGCTGGCCCCTGTGTGCAAGATGATGTCACAGTTTAGCATTGCCTCCGTTCTAGTTTTACATGAGCTTTCTGAATGAAGGACCTCCTCCCAGTCACCTTTGAGAACTAACATTTTCTGTTTTACACATTGCCACAAGATGATGCATCAGTTGTTCTGGGGGAGTAAAAAATGAGAAATGCAATTAATTTTTATACTTATCACTGTTTAAATGTTAGTTCCGGACTGTTTACTTAACTGTAAATTCTGGAGTCTCTGTTTATGACACTCAAATAACACCATCCTAATCCTATCTGGATTTTATATTGATAACATTGGAAGTGAACCTCTACCTGCTCTCCTGTTTGAAAAAAAATGAATTTCAAAAAATATATAAAATACAAAATAACAAAAAGAAGTTAAATGGGGGAGAGAGGATAAAAAATGGAAAAAGTTAAAAAGTGGTCAAAAAAGCAACAATCTTTTGACTTTCTTCAGCACAGGTACCGGTATAATATATAGTAAAGTAACCTCTTATTTGAAGTTAAAACAAAAACATAATATAAAAATATACAGATTAAATGATTGAAATAACGTTGCAATTATATAAACAAACCTCTTATTCCAGTGGTGGGATTCAAATAATTTAACAACCGGTTCTCTGCCCTAATGACCAACTGGCTGGGTGGGCATGTGACTGGGTGGACGTGGCCAACTCACATCGAGGGGCGCTTTGCCTCACCCAGCCTCTTATGACCATGGAGATGCTGCCATGGTCATAAGTGTGAAAAATGGTCATAAGTCACTTTTTTTCAGTGCCATTGTAACTTTGAATGGTCACTAAATGAATTGTTGTAAGTCAATGGTTACCTGTATAAAGATACAAAAAGCTTCTTTGCTTACAAAAAGCTGTCCTAAATACCAATCATTAGATTAGAAATGGGGGAATACACACTGAAGATCAATGACAGTCACAGCCATCATGGAAACCTAAACCATTCTGTCTGAATACCTTCCTTTTCATCAGCAATACCTGCAACCCAGAGTTACAAATCAAGCAGGCTGCCAGAGTACCTTGAGGAATTAAAATAGTTAAAGTGCAATGATAATTATCAGCAGCCAAGTCTTGCTCATAAAGTGTAACCCTTTAGCAAAGAAAAGAGGTCATTTAAGCTCTCCAGAAAGTGGGTGGGCATACTTGGGCTACAAAATGCCAAGCTAAAGAGACAAATTAACAAAGTATATAGGGGACCCAGGTTCAACTCTCTGCCCTCCCAGGCTTGTCAGGATCACAATAAAATTAGTACATGAAATATCCATCTGGTTCAGTTCCAAGCTGGAAGAAAGACACTGGAAACGTAGAGGCTGATTGGAAAGATGGTTTAATGATGAAGCAGAACCACATGGGTGGTTCTGCTGCATCTGACCACATGGAATTGAGAGTGAGGGGTATTACCTTTTCTTGGGCTTTGTACTTGAGCTTCCTGTTCTTGTGCAAGAACATGCATTCTATTGGTTGTTGTCAAGACTTCCATGGGGCCATGTAGCTTGCTCTGTAGGTTGTCTGAGACCATTTGGTTGAAGTTTGGACTCTCTGAGATGATATAATGAAGAGGCTTGTGTTCTGAAAGGGTGTTGGAAATTCCTATTGTGTCTTAATATCTTTCCTCCTGTTTTGGATCTTGAGTGGGGACTAATCCCATTCTGCCTTTGTTCAGACCTTGCTGCAGGGAATTTTTGCCTATGAATAGAGCTATCTGTCTCTTTATCTCTTAAGTGCAGACATCTGCTGTGTGCTATTAAGGAAGATGGGGGCTGCTTTCTCCCTATAAAAACATGTTTCTCCATTTCTCATTCAGGAAATATATTCTTCCTTTTTAATATTTCTCAAAAAATTTCATTCTTCTAGGAGAGAGGTGGGTGCTAACTTTCTATTGGTGCCATGTTACTAAGTCTTATTATTATGAGAGAAAACTAAAACAAATTGGAAGGAGGATCCATTGTTTTGATCCAGATGAACTGAGTTGGGAAAAAAGGATTTCCACAGCACCTAAATAATGGAATTAGAAGCATCTATTTCGCTCTGGTTCAATTTTTTCACAGCCCTGGAAAATGTCCACTTGATGAATTGTGTGATTTCTTTATAGAGGATTTTGATGATGCTTGGAGAACCAGTGCTATTTCAATAGCAATCAGCTAGAGCTGAATGTGCCAGGCTGCGAAAGGTCAAGAAAGCTTCTGCAAAGCTGTGCAGACCTTGTTAAGGCAGCAAAACAAAGCAGTTTGTTCCTGAGTTACACAGCAGCAACCTGAAAGCTACCATTTTGTGGGTAGGACAAAATGTTGTCCATTTCCAGAACTGCATTATGCAGCCGCACAAAGCTGCAATCCATTCCAATACTCTTCGAAGGCCTTGGAGCTCTTCGAAAGTTAGTGAGGAGAAAGCTATGTGGCCTGTTGTGGTGGGACCAGTGGGAATGGGAAAAGACCCAAGGGGAGTGGGGGAGCTTTGCACAGGGAGTCTTGGGGTGGGGGATGGCCAGGGCAAGTGGGCCTGGGCCTGTGCTAGACCTTCAAGGACCTTCTCTCTCCCAGAAGCTCCCCAGGCATTCATGTAATGATTCATTGGGGACAACAGGGATAGGGGGGATTGTTAGGTGAGATGCTTCACCTAACAACTGTTGCAACATGTGACTATAATAGGTAGGATCCATTATGGCTGTATCTTGAAGACTACCCGTATACTAACATTGCTGTCTTGGTGCCCAAGTCATCCAATTTCCCTCTCTCTTTATAAATTATCTATATATCATTGCAAATCTTCTCCATATAAATCCTGCTAGGCATGAAATTATAAGAAATCCCTGCTAGGTATGAAATTATATTGCTTCTTTTTTTCCTTTCTTTCTTACCCCAACTTTGATACAAGATCTCAAGCCAGCATATTATTTTTCCCCATAACAAGACCCAGGAAGTAGACCTTCTCTGTCCCCTGGAAACAGATTCCCTGAGATTCATATGGCCCAATCCTGTCCCTGTTCCAGCAAGCTCTTAAAACTTGGCTCTTTCCCCAGGCCCTGAGTGACAGACCCCGCTTTGGATGTCAATTCTTTTTGCAGTTCCTTTTGGATAATAGGTTCTACGGGGTTATTTTTGACCCTGTTGCCTTTTGTTATTACTTTTGCAAGCCACTTGGAGTCATACAGATTGGAATGGCCTATAAATATAATAAATCAAACATTAACCAGAAAGTGATCGGATTATGATAACAAAAAAACAGAATTCTTTCACTCTCTTTGGAAGTGAAGGGAGATTATTGCACAATGGATAAACAGAACATCGACCATATTGGCATGCAATCTGCCCCTAGAACAGTTGTGGCTAAAGGGAAATCCCTTTCAGAAAATGTGAAGAAACTGGGCTTCCCCTACGCAAGCTTGACATAGAGAATGGTCATTCAAAGAGGGAGCTCTGCCCATACTGCGGTACGTTTCAAATAGGCTTTTTAAATGTATGTATTTCCTAACCAATGTGGTCTCTAAGGCATTAAAACCCTGGAATCAAAGAAAATTAAAAATATGAAAGAACAGAATGACGAAATCAAAATCAAAGAAGGGGAAAGAAAAACAAAGTAGTCTGTTGTAAGAAAGATTGAGGATAAATCTCTCAACCACGTACCATTAAAACGTGAACCAAGGAAGAAAGCAACGCTGCCTATTAAGCATAGCCTCCTGTGGACAGACAGGGCTCCTGCCAGAGGGACGTTTGGTCCTGCAATATTTTGAATAGGGCAGTGCAGAAACACAGAACTCACGTGTGTCCATCAAGACTCTACACTAGAGGTATCTTTGCATAACAGAACAGAATAACAGACCTGGAAGGGACCTTGGAGGTCTTCTAGTCCAACTCCCTGTTCAAGCAGGAGATCCTGTACATTTTGGACAAATAGTGGTCCAATACCTTCTTAAAAACTTCCCGTGTTGGAGCATCCACAATTTCTGGAGGCAAATTGTTCCACTATTTAATTGTTCTAACTGTCAGAAAATTTATCCTTAGTTCCAAGTTGCTTCTCTCTTTGATTAGTTTCCATCCATCCTGCCCTCTGGTGCTTTGGAGAACAAGTTGTCCCCCTCTTCTTTGTGTCAGCTCTTTAGACATTGGAACACTGCTATCCTGTCTCCACTAGTCTATCTTTTCATTAAATTAGAGACGTCCAATTTCTGAAACCGTTTTTCATATATTTTAGCCTCTGGTCCCCTAATCATCTTTGTTGTTCTTCTCGGCACTCTCTCTAGAGTCTCAACATCTTTTTTATATCCTGACAACCAAAACTGGATGCAATATTCCAAGTGTGGTCTCATCAAGGCATTATAAAGTGGTATTAACACTTGATCTGATCTTGATTCTATCCCTTTGTTAATGTAGCCTTGGACTTCATTTTCATAGCTGTAGCACTCTGCTGGCTCATATTTAAGTGATTGTCCACTAGGAATCCAAGATCCTTTTCTGAGTTTTATTTATTTATTTTATTTTGTCAAGCGATTATAAGATAACAGGTATAAGTTATTACAATTGAACCAGATACCATGTATTCCATACTTGTGCATTTGGGTGTTGTTGTTTTTTTGCTTAAATAAATGCTATAATAAAATCAATGGAAAATGGAGTCCAACTCCTATTTGTCACTATTAAGAATTTATCAATGTCTTTTCAATACCATGGAAAAGCTGAGGAGGAGAGTCAACATCATGAGACCAAACTATGACTGAGAGTCAGCAGAAATGTTTCATAGACCTCCATTCCACTGCTTTTATGGAGAAATATAAGTCTAATGAGGTTTTCAATCGGAAATATCTGGTGCCTGAGATAAATAAAGGTTTGTGGTATTATATAAAAATATGTTGAATTTCAGGCCTACTCATGATAGATAAACAGAAGCTGATAACATTCTTACAATATTGCATTCCTTGTTTGAAATTATATGTGGCAAGCATTATTTACTAAATCTCTTTGAGCAAAGTGATAATTAAAACAGCAAATCTATAGAGTGACTCAAATAATTATGTTTTTCTACAGCCTTGCACTATTTAAAAATCATACACACACACACACACATACACACACAAAATAAATGGCAGATTAAACCAATACAATAAACTAAGATAAATTATACATTGTAAGTCCTATGCATTATAACTTACTGTTAGTTTCATCCTAAAACTACTGATGGATATAATTGGGTTTATCCTATTAATTATCTTTTTTTTAAATACATTTTTTATTTTTTTGTTTCAACAATCATATCGTTGTGTGAACAGTTTGGTTCCAGAGTGTTTTACATTTTAGAACAAACATGACAATAATTTCATATTTAATACTGTTGAGATTCTTATATAATTTGGTATTAGTATACTTCTGATATTAAGTTATCAATCTTAATTATTCAATATTACCATATGTTATTTTTGTGTCAATCTCTATATTCTTAACATCACTTCTTTTATTATAAATGCTATATTAATAGTCATATTTGCAATGTTTAACAAATTATATAATTCTAATATTCATTCATAAATTCATATTAATTTATCTTTTCCATTATTTATCCCCTTTTTAATTCTTGGTTGTGCCACTATTATATTTAAAGCTAATGTTTAATATTAGTACACGTATTTTATTAAATTAATCCCATTTTAGTCACATTTTAGTACAAACAAAATTATGCAATTCTATTAATACTTTAGTTATTTTTATCTTATGCTATATTTCACCATATTTTTTATGTCCGTCAGATTCCACATATCATTTCTTTGTCTACAATAAAATATCAATTTTCATGTTTATTACAGTTAACAATTATATATCTTAAGTAATAGTACATGCATTTATATGAAATCATAATTTTTTTCCCTTTTAGCCATCGTCTCTCACTCTCATTAAAGCTTTAATTGATCGCTTCCTAGCTTGTCTCCCATGTTCCTCTTTTAAATTGTCATCTTTATCTAAGATTTTTTTTACCATTCCTTAGTCATTCCTCCCTTTTCTATTACGTTCCATTGTTTCATTTTCAAATTATCTACTCTTACCCCTGTCTTTCTCCCAAGAAATTCTCCCTGAAATCCCATTCTCTTTTGCATCTTCCTTAAAATATTCTCCCTTTGGTTTATTATATCAGTCACTGTCATTTTTAATTTTATTTCCTTTTTATCATTTCTTTTTATTTGTTGTTCCATTTGTTCTATTTTTCTAGTTGCTCCTCCAAATGGCTTCTCCTCTTCCTGTGTCTCCGGTTTTCTTTCTATTATTTGCGTCTCCATTTCCATATCCTCTGCCATGTTCTGTATTTTAGTCAAAATGTCCTCAAATCTTCTATTCATAATGTCTTTTATCTCTTGAAGTTCCACCACAATTTTTTTACAAATTCTGCTCATCTTTGTTTTTATTTATTCTATTTCTTTCTGTCCAATTGTCCAATGGTTTTTATTCAATCCAAAGTCACTTTTCAGACTGAAATTCCAAAGCCCAGGAGCCTTGTAAAACTTATTAGCTGCCCATCTTGCCACATGGTAACTCTGGGCAGCTTACAATATTAAAGAATAAAATTGCCCTTTTTGCTGGATCTTTCATTATCAGGTAGGTTTTCCCAGATGTTAGCCACTCTTCAATTTTATCTCCTATTGTTGTTAAACTGCTTAGCAACGAGTGGGTACATATCAGTTAAATGTTTCAACCAAAAACCATGCAGTTCATCTTCACCTGGTGCTAACCAATTATTGATCTTCCTTGTTATTTTCTCTACCATTCCTGCTGCTGTTATTGATTCTTTCATTTCAACTTCTTTTAACCAAGCTGCGTCCTTGTTGTATTTCTTTGGGTTATCCCATATCTGCGCCCAGAACTGCGTGGTTTCTTCCATTGACGTATTGATAGAAACATTTCTGATTGGATTGAAATTGGAGGCTCTGTCTACAATTTGCAATTTGAACTTCACATCTGCTGATCTTCTTAGCTATAACTGTTATTTGCTGCTTTATTATTTCCAGTGCATCCTCAATCTTCCTTGTTTCTAAGTGGTATTTCTTGACTAGGTATCCTTTGGTCTTCTTGTACTTCAGCTTATTTTCTTTCATCTGTTCTAGCTTGCTTGTGTCTGATCTCAACTTGCTGGTCTTATTTTCCAGTCTAATCTTCTATTTTTGTAGTGCACTGTTTGGTTTTTTTTTTCTTTCCTTCTTCTTTTTGCATCCCAGGTATTCAATTATAACTGCATCTATGCTGTACATTAGTTAGTTTGTTGTTTACAGTGAGTTGGTGCTTATACTTGATATTGCAGTATTTGTATCTTTTAGTGCTTGTGCTAGCTGTTTCTTTAGAACTAGCTTCAATGCAAACAGCTTTATTCTGATGTTTTTGTGCTGCTCTAGATGCTCAGTTATTCTTTGTTTCAATTATGTTGTTCTTGTTATTTATCCTGCTTTTATTACTAGGAGTAATAGTAGATGTATTGATAAAGGATAATTTAATTCCTCAATATCAACTGGGAGTCTGTGGTAGAAAGCACAGGAAGAGCAATTATCCTTAATCTCAGACTAACTAATAGAGATGATTTAGGCAAGAAAATGAAAGCACTGTGGCATAAACTGAAAAACTGATAATGTGGTGCTGAAAATGTTGAATGTAAGAGAAATTAAAATTGATTCAAATGTGTGTATTTGCTTCAAATGCTTCAAGAAAGCAGCATTCACAAAATCATGCAATGAAAAGTTTGGAAGGGAACTCTAGCTCAATCCTGCTTGCCTCAACCTACTGATATTTGCTTTAAATAAACTTAGAGCATAATAAATGTCAGGAGAAACAACTGGGAGAAAGAACATCCAGCAGACCTTGGCTGATCTTCAAAAGCTAAGTTGAACTGGAGGTTGTTAATGCTTGAGAGTACTAAAAGATTCCAGGGCTGGAATAAAGAATGAGAAGACAAAAGAGAGTCTTGAAAAGGGCATTTTTGTACTGTTGCCAGGAAAATTGCCTGGATATGGATATTTCTGTAGTCACCAGATTTGAAGCTCAATTAAAAAGAGAATTGATCTTATCGTTTTCAATTACCAGAAATGGACATGGACTTGGCAAGTGAATCTTTCTTTTTTTTCTTTTTAATCCAAGTTATTTCTTTTTTTCATTGTTTTCAAAATGCTGCAGACAATGTAACAAATGTTTTTTAGCAAAGCATTTGACAAAGAAACTTATGACTTCCTGATTAGAAAGCTAGATTTGGGCTGGAGGGTATGACATTAAATTGATACACAGAGGGCCTGAAAATTATACAGCATTTCTCAAAGATTTCCCATTAAACTGGGACAAGGTATTTAGTGGTAGGCCACAAGAATGAACTCTGAAGCCAGCATTCTTTAACATTTTCATTAATGATCTGAGTTATGTGAGAGAGAAAATGGTCATCAGATGTACAAATGATACATAATTGTGTGGGATAGAAATAAAACAAAAATCTAGTTTTCAGTTTGCAGAAATGGGATGAAAATAACAAAATGAAATTAAAAATGAGTTCATCCCTTAGTGCAGAAATTAAAAACCTTGGCACCAAATAAGGATTCTGGCTTGCCAATCATATCTGAAAAAAAGATCTCAAACTATCATTGGTTGCAGGCCATTTATGACTCACTAGTGTAATATGGCTGCAAAAAATAAAATCCAATACAATAAAAAAATCAAGTTTTTGAAGTATCAACAATACAGGTAATCCTCGACTTACAACCACAGTTGAAACTAAAGTTTCTGTTGCTAAGTGAGACAGTTGTTAAGTGAATTTTCCCTATTTTATGACCTTTCTTGCCACAGTTCTTAAGTGAATCATTCTAATTGTTAAGTTAGTAAAACGGTTGTTCAAGGAATCTGGCTTTCCCACTCACTCTGCTTGTCAAAAGGTTGCAAAAGGTAATCATGTGACACCAGGAAACTGGAATTGTCATAAATATGAGTCAATGGCCAGGTGTCTAAATTTTGATCATGTGACCATGGAGATGCTGCAATGGTCATAAGTGTGAAAAACGGTCATAAGTCACTTTTTTCAGTGCCGTTATAACTTTGCTCACTAAATTAACTGTTGTAAGTCGAGGACTATATGTAGTGTAATTCAGAAATCAGAAAATTTGAAAGATTTGATTTATCCATTGATCATTGATTTGAAAGAGGGGTAAAAGAGGCCATTTATGTTAACACTGAGCAGCCCAGAGGTGACCAGTTCTGGAGAACCAGTAGCAGAAATTTTGAGTAGTTCGGAGAACCGGCAAATACCACCTCTGACTGGCCTCGCCCCAATCTATTCTCTGCCTCCTGAGTCCCAGCTGGTCGGCTGGGTCTTCTTTTGTTGCCCTGCACAGGAGAATGGAGCTGGAAAGTAGGTTAGTGGGGTGGAGAGGGAATGGGGATTTTGCAGTAACTTTCCCCCAGGAGTGGGGAGGGAATGGGGATTTTACAGTATCCTCCCCCTGCCACGCCCACCAAGCCATGCCATGCCCACTAAGCCTCACCCACAAAACCAGTAGTAAAAAAAATTGAACTACACCACTACCGTCTCTTAACAGACAGGAAGGGATAAAACTCCACTTTTCTCTAGTTTACAACACAGCCCTTGCAGTAGTTCCATAACCAATTGTACTCTGATTATCTTGGGGCAAAGATAAACCCCAAGTGGCCTCAAGAGGTCTCAGGGAGAGTGCTAATGACCAGATGACTGCAAAGATGTACAATCCTTCCACTCCCACCACCACCACCATCCTTCCTATCCTTCCATCCCCCCACCATCTGGTTTCAAGTGTCAGTACCTATCTTTCCATACCCCTCACCAGCAGAATTGATGAAATTTCTTGAATGAGAAACAAAATGTTTTGTTCTTCTTCCACGAGGGGAAAAAAAAAACAGTTTCCAGTTGCCTTTTGCATAAAGCACATTTGAGACAAATATGACCTGGATGACTGAGAATCTCCACAGACATTCAGAAATCAGAAACAACCATTCTATTTTATTTTGGACTGGACAATGTTACTTCAAGTACTGCATTCCATTCTGAGCACTTACAACATTTGCCAACCATTTTGCTGTTTCACAGACCTATATAGAGGTGGCTTTGGACTCCTGGACTGGGAATTGTATCAACATGCAGCAGCGCTAATTTGGATCAAAGAATGGATCATCTTAAGTAATAAGAGGCTATTAACTCTTGAAGGACACGATCTACAAATTGGTTGGCATGCTGCTAAGTGGGAGAAGAGAAATAAGACAAGTTCTCACTTTTTAAACCACCGAATAAGAGAGGAACTACTGGAGATCTGGAACAGAATTAGGAAAAAATTATATTAAAATGTCAGGTGGGTTTCTATCATGGAAGCCATGATATACCCCAATAATTTAGATATAAATAAAACAATGAGATATAATCAATTATTAGATGATCAAGGGATGTTGAAACCAAATCAAAAATTGAAAGAGGAAGGCATAGTGATAGATTGGTGGCCCTACCTACAATTGCAAACAAAATATAAAAAAGACGTAGAAGAATTTGGTATATAGAAAAAATGCCACAACAACTAGACAAAATATTATTAGGATCAGAGGAAAAATTTATAACCAAAATGTATAATTATCTTTTAAAATTTGATAGAGAAGAGGAAGTAGTAAAACCAACCATGATAACTTGGATGAAAAATTTTGGATACCGCATACAATTAGAAGATTGGAAAAGACTATGGACTAAAAATTATAAATTAACATTGGCAACCTCATATAAAGAAAATTTATATAAAATGTTCTATTGTTGGCATCTGGCACCAGCGAGATTGGCTAAAATTCATCCAAATTTAAAACCAGAAGGTTGGGAATGCAAAAAGAAACCTGTTACATTCTTTCATATGTGGTGGACTTGCCCAAAAGCGAAAGAATTCTAGAATAAAATACAGATCTGGCTACAGGAAATAACAAGTCTAAAGATAGTACCCAAACCTGAAATGTTTTTATTAGGGATAACCAAAGGAGAATATATGAAAGAGAATGAATGTCTGATGATACAGATCTTAACAGCGACTAGGATAATATAAGCTCAAACTTGGAAATTAGATGGTACACCCACAGATGACATGATTATTAAAAAAAGTAATGGATTGCACAAAAATGAACAAATTCACAATGGAATTACAGGAGAGAGAGGATAAAGAATTCTATATGGCCTGGGGAAAATGATATGTGTGGTTAGAAAATAGAAAGAAAATATAATGCAAACGTTTATAATGTGCTTTCAAGTATAATTGTAAATAATGTACACATGTATGTATAGGAGAATGGTATAAGTGATGTCACAAATAATTGCAAGAAATGTATATAGAATTTGTTTTTAAAGGTGAAAATTTAATAAACGTTATTTTTAAAAAAGAAAATAGCTTGACCCCTTCCTCTCTGTGGCAGCCCCTCAAATATTGGAAGACTGCTATCATGTCTCCCCTAGATTTCTGACCCAAACCCTTTTCCAATAAAACAAACACGAACCAAAGGGAACAGAAACCTTTTAATGATTTTTACGAATCCCCGGTTAAAAGGCTGCTGAAAACTAATTAACTTTTATAAGCACAAGCCTCGCCAAAACTGTGTGAGGCTGCCAAGGTTACCTAGAAATATTTTACAACACAAGAGTTTTCAAATACCAACTTAAGATACTGCAATGTCCACGAGACTCGAGTTTCAAAACATCTTTGCTTCCTACAAAGAACGTCCGATTCACAGCTGGCTTTTATCTTCTTGAAGGAGGGGCAATTATCTTGCAGCCTTATTCCTGAGTCACCTGTGCTGCTGCAGTTGCTCTTTCCTGTGAGCAGCCCTGCACGTACGCGCACTTGGCACAGGCTCCTCGGGAACCTCCTCATCACTGCTGCCAGCCCCCACAATCTCTGAAAGCAGCAGTCCACTCCCTAATGGTCCTGGCTCCTCATCTGAGTCCCTGCTCTCCTCAACTATCTGCACCTGCTGCTGACTAACCACAACACCTAGTCTTTCTCTTCACTAGACTAACCATGCCCAGTTCCTGTAACCATTCTTCATATGTTTTAGTCTCCAGTCCCCTAATCATCCTGGTTGTTCATCTCTCTACTTTTTCTAGACTCTAAACATCTTTTTTATAATGTGGTGACCAAAACTGGATGTAGTACTCCAGCCTCTACTAAGGCTTTATAGAGTGGTTTCCTCACTTGATCTCGATTGTATGCCTCTGTTAATGCAATTTAGGATTGTATTAGCTTTTGGGGCTGCTGCTGCACACTGCTGGCTCATATTTAGCTGGTTGTCCACTAAGACTCCAAGATCCCTCTCACTTTTGGTTTTTCTTGCCTAAGTGTAGGACTTTACTTTACTCTACATTGAATTTCATTTTGTACGATACAGCCCAGTGTTCTAGTCTGTCAAGATACATTTATGTCCATCCAACTGTTGGTCCAGGAAAGGGCATAACTGGCACACAACCTGCAATTGTGCAAAGACCTTTCTAGCCCAACTGTCACCTGCTCTTTGAGCAGGAATTGTGAGTCAGGAGGACCCCCAGATTATACACAGGGTCTGTTTGGGGCAGTGCCACCCTATCCAAGACTAAAGGTGGCAATTCTCCATGGGCCAAAGAACCCCAAACCCAGAGCCACTAGTTTTGCCAAGGTCCAGTTTCAATCAGTTGCTCACATGGGCTAAAATATACAGCTATCATCAGCATATTGATGATATCTCAGTCCATGGTGATGGATGATCTCACCCAACCGTTTCATGTAGATATTGAATAGGAGCAGAGAGAGTACCAAGCCTTGTGGGACTCCACAAAGCAGTGGGCAAGGGCTGGATTTCTCATTTCCTATTAATATGGACTGGGAGCAGTCACCAAGGAAGGAAGTGAACCTGGATACCACAGAGCTCCTCCACTCCCAACCCCCAAAGTCGCTCCAGAAGTAGACCACGGTCAATGGTATTGGAAGCTGCCAAGGGGTCAAGTAGAGCAAGGATGGATGCACTACCCCATCCTGTTCCTGCCAGAGATCATCAATAAGCATGACCAATGCCATTTCTTTCCCATATCCATGCCTTAATCCTGAATAGTAGGGGTATAAATAATCTGTTTCATCCAGAAACCTCTGGAGCTGCCACTCAACCACCTTCTCAACAACTTTCCCCCCAAAAGGAAGATTGGAGATAGGTTGGAAATTATCCAACAGGGTGCAATCCAATGATAGCTTCTTGAAAAGAGACCACAGCTTTCTTAAAGTGCAAGTAGATACCCACTTTTGTAGGGAAGCATTAATCACTGCCAGAGTCCACCAGCCTATCCCCTTCTGGGAAGCTTTCACAAGTCAGGAGGGAAATGGGTCTAAAACACAGCTGCTTCTGTGCATACTCCCAAGGATCCTGTCCACTTCCTCAGGAGCAACAGGGTCAAACTGTTCCCAGATAACAAGGCAAGAACCTGTCACAGGCACATCCTCCAAACTAGCCACCATGTTGGTATCTAACTGGGGACAAAGTTGAGCAATTTTGTCTTCCAGAAAATCTGCAAATTCATCAGCGTGCCCCTTCAGGCGGACCTTGTCAGTATGTAAGGTTCATAAATTAGAACAGACATGGTAACAGGTCAGCCAATGGGGCTGTTTGGTGACCCAGACAGCTTGGAGTGTGTGCCTGGCTTAGGTTCACTGATCTCTCTCTCTCTCTCTCTCTCTCTGTGTGTGTGTGTGTGTGTGTGTGTGTGTGTGTGCACACCTCTGTAATATCCTGTTTCTGCGTTTATGTTGCTTCTGTGATTATTGCTTCTGTATTTCTGGATTCTGTGTTCTGATTCTGGATTCTGCTGTAGGGTATTGTATATAAAGAAGTTTCTTACATAAATGAATCCTGCTGAATTATTTACTTGTGTGCTGGTTGGATTGCTGCAAACCTTGATAGACCTCAATCTCCAGGAGGAGACGGTTCACCTTAAAGAGGGTGGCTGGTTGATTATCTGCAGATGGAATTACTGTAGAGAAGTATTTACACTTCATTGCACAAATCACGAAGTAGGCCTTAATAGCAGTTCTTACCCATGTTTGACTGAGTTCATCCCTTGTCTTCCACTAGGGGTGCTGTGGACGTCTCTTCATTCATTTCATTCCCCTCAGTTCCTCTATATACCATAGAGGACAGAGAGATCTACAGGTGAGGAGAGATCACATGTGCGCAATCCTATCCAGACCCTTGGTCACCTTCCTATTCCAAACAGTGACCAAGAGTACAGCTGGACTGCACAGCAGATCTACAGTTATAACCCCCAGTTTTTTCTGGGACCTAGCCTGCATAATCAATTTCAGCCCTTTATCCAATTGGCCTGTGTATTCAGAGGTCACTTTAGCTGTATTTTCTGATAGAGAGTCTAGTTTTATGAATGGGCAATCATTGTATCCTTTTAAATGAAACACAGTCTCCAGTGGTGGGATTCAAATAATTTAACAACCGATTCTCTGCCCTAATGACTGGGTGGGCATGGCTGGGTGGGCATGGTTGGGTGGTCATGTGACTGGATGGGTGTGGCCAACTTGATTGGTCTCACCCTTAGGAAATTTCTCCTTAGACCAACTCACAATAAAATAACACAATAAAATAGCACTGCCTCAATATTTAGAATAGAATAGAATAACAGAGTTGGAAGGAACCATGGAAGTCTTCTAGTCCAACTCCCTGCTTAGGCAGGAAACCCTGCACCACTTCAGACAAATGGTTATTCAATTTCTTCTTTAAAACTTCTAATGTGGGAGCATTTACAACTTCTGGAGGCAATTTGTTCCACTGAATAATTGTTCTGTCAAGAAATTTGAGGGGTCCTACAAAAATGAGGGAGTCAATCTATTTTCCAAAGCACCAAAAGGCATAACAAGAAAGAATGAATGGATATTAACCAAAGAGGGAAGCAACCTAGGACTAAGGAGAAATTTCCTAAGGGTGAGACCAATCAACCAGTGGAATAGATTGTATTCAGGAGTTGTGGGGGCTCCATCACTAGAGGCTTTCAAAAAGAGTGAGGGAAGTACACCCCAGAAGAACAGTGTCAGGAACCACTAAAATAATGCAGAAAACTTAAAACAGCCATTCCCCTTTTTTAAAAAAGTCACCCCCAAAGCAAATGCAGTAGCTGAGAGGGAAGCTAAGAGCAGCCACTCATGCTAATTGAAAGCCTGGCCGCCCAACTGAATAAGAATAACATCCTGTTCAAATGGCTCATCCCAGGGGGAATGTTAATATCATGGAAGGATAAAAAATTTAAAATAGACAATATAGAAAAAGCGAGGGAATTATTTGAACTGTATGTGGTGTCACGAGAAGACCAGAACAGCAAAGAGGACATGGAAAATAGGAGCCAAGAAGAATATCGTGTGGAGGAAAGAGGAAAGAGAGCAGGAACAAGTGGAAAGAGAAGGCGTAAGAACGAGACACCAGACGGGAGCAAACAAGCTTCAACAAAAAACAACTACAGAGTAAGATGGCATAAGAAATCAAATTGATTTCCATTAACATCAACGGTTTAAATTCACAAATTAAGAGGAAAAAAATGATAAACTACAGAAATTGAGCTTAGATATTATATGCCTTCAAGAAACACATATCCAGAAACATCAAAGTAAACTGTTAGAAGCACCAAAGTTAGGAAATTTATACGTATTTCTAGCCCAACAAAAAAAGAGGGGAATAGCAATATATATTAGGAAACATTTACAAGCAAAACAGGTATATGCAGATAAGGAGGGTAGGATTTTGATGTTAGAAGTTTATATAAATTATAAGAAAATGTTATTGGCAGTGATATATACGCCAAACAAGAAACAAGAAAAAATTTATACTAAACTATACAGAAAATTAGTAGAACAGGAATATGAGAACATATGTCTGCTAGGTGATTTCAATGCAATAGAAAATTTAGGAAAAGATTACAATAATGAAAATCCAGGGGAAAAAAGTAAAAGGAAAACATTACCAAAAGTATTTTATCAAATGGCGGAAGAATTAGGATTAAAAGACATATGAAGAGAAAGAAATCCAGACAAAAAACAGTATACTTACTATTCAGCACCACACACATAATGGTCAAGATTGTATATGTTATGGACAAATGGGGAAATTGAATGTAATATAAAAGAAATAGAAATTGAATCTAACATATGGGCAGACCATAATCCCATTAAAATAATTTGGAAGGGATTGAAAAAAAAAACCAGAAGATGGATGCTAAACAAGGAGATCCTAAAAGAAAAAGAATGTTAAGATGATGGAAAAAGAATTGGCGTTCTTTCTGAAGGAAAACAACAAACATCAATTCCAAACCTATGGGACACGACTAAAGCATACATCAGGGGCCTAGCAATTTCATATAATACACGTAGATACAAGGGGAAAAAAGGAGAACAATCTAAAGTACTAGATACTCTTAAGGAGTTAGAAAAAACACTACAAAAAACACCACATAATAAGACAGCAAATACAGAGAAGATAATGATTAGACATAAATTGAATATGTTAGCACAAGATGAATGGTTGCAGGACATGAAAAAGATAAAACAGAATTATTTCCAGTTTGATGTTGTAGCGTATCATCAGCATCCTTCAATTGTTGGATTGCTCTTTTTTCTTTTTCTTTCTTAAGTCTATAAGCTAGCCACCTTCCCAGCTTATTCACATGTTGAACATGCGAATAAGCTGGGAAGGTGGCTAGCTTACAGACTTAAGAAAGAAAAAGAAAAAAGAGCAATCCAACAATTGAAGGATGCTGATGATACGCTACAACATCAAACTGGAAAAAAAAACATATTGTTAAAAGTTTTTTTTGAGGAATTATATAGTAGGGAAGACATACCAGAGGGAAATATCCAACATTACTTAGAAGGAAAAGGGCTACCTGTGATCCCGGAAGGAGATAAAGAAGAGATAAACAGGGAAATAACATTAAGAGAACTGCAAGAGGCAATCCTGAAACAGAAAAACAGTAAGACACCGGGACCAGATAGTCTCCCAGTGGAACTGTATAAAACGCTCCAAGAAAAATTAGAAATGCAATTATTAGAACTCTATAATGAGGTACTGACGACAGCAAAATTACCTAAGTCATGGGGGGAGACATACGTAACATTGATCCCAAAAGAAGATTCAGACCATCAATTAATTCAAAATTATAGGCCCATGTCCCCTTTAAATGTTAATTTTAAGATATTTATGTCCATAATGGCAGAAAGATTGAAAAAAACCCTTAATCAGATCATTCATAGCCAAAATGGATTCTTACCGAATAGACAAATTAAAAATAATACCAGAATGGTATTGAATATAATAGAATATTATGGAGCAAACCCAGGAAAACAATTGGCAATGGTCTTCCTCGATGCGCAAAAGGCATTTGACAATGTTAATTGGCAGTTCATAATACAACAATTAAAAAGCATGCAATTTGGCAATAAATTTATTAAATTGATTTTGACAATTTATACGACACAGACCGCCAGTGTAATAATGAACGGTGACAGAATGGAAACATTCAAGATCAACAAGGGAGTAAGGCAGGGATGCCCACTGTCACCCCTTCTCTTTATTCTTACCTTAGAAAACTTATTGGAAAATGTTAGGAAAAATGTAGAAATCAAGGGTGCTTTAATTAAAAAGAGCATTATGAGGTACAGGCATTTGCTGATGATATAGTATTTTTTCTGGAAGATCCAGAGGATATGGGAGTAAAATTAATAAAGGAAATAGAGGAATTTGGCAAGGTCACAGGCCTTAAGATTAATAAAAACAAAACAAAATTATTGACTAAAAACTTAAAAGATAAGCAAAAAAAGTATTAGAAGGAAAATTGGGAATGCAAAGTGTGAAAAAGGTAAAATATTTAGGCATTTGGTTAACAGCAAGATGCTCTTCAATCAAAAAAGATAACTATGACAAATTAATAATACAAATCAAAAAACAATTGGAAATGTGGGGGAAATTACAGCTATCACCACTGGGGAAAATTTTGGCAATTAAAATGTCTACCCTACCAAAAATACTATATTTTTTTCAAACTACCAATAAGATTGGATAAAACTTTTTTTTAGAGAATTAGATTGAATAATAAGTAAATTTGTTTGGGATGGGAAAAAAGCCAGGAAAAAAATGAAATTGTTACAGGACAAAAGAGAAAGGGGTGGCTTTGGACTCCCTGACTGGGAAATGTATTATCAGGCTTTGGCTATGGTATGGATTAAAGATTGAATCAACCTGGAAAATAGAAGAGTATTGTCGATAGAGAGTAACGACTTGCAGAGAGGGTGGCATAGTTTCCTATGGGATGGGAATTGTAAACAGCATACATATTTTCAGAGACACATGATTAGAAATTAATTAATTCGGACATGGAACAAGATTAAAAAGAATCATTATACTAAAATACCAAACTAGTTGTCAACTATGGAAGCACAAATCTACCCAAATGCAATGGATCTGGGGGAAAAAGAGGAATTACAAAGACCTATTAGACACACAAGGAAGATTAAAAACGGGACAAGAATTACATCAACAAAATATAAAGATAGATTGGTGGCCATACATGAAAATTCAGGTGAGATATCAGAAGGACAAAGAACAATTTGGTTTCTGCATGGAAAAGCATCAGTTAGATAAAATTCTACAAGAAATGGAAAAGAAAATGATTTCAAGAATATATAACGTTCTACTAGATTTTAAAATGGAAGAGGAGGTGGTCAAAGAGACGATGGTGGTATGGGCGAAAAATGTTGGCCACAATATAGACCTGGAAAATTGGGAGAGAATGTGGGTATCAAATTACAAACTAATTACATCCACAGCATACAAGGAAAATCAATACAAAATGTTCTACAGATGGCACCTTCCCCCCACTAGACTGACAAAAATGTTTAACTCAGACCCAAATTGTTGGAAATGTGGAAAAGAAAAAGGCATTTATTTTCATACCTGGTGGATATGCCAGGAAGTGAAAAAATATTGGAATACAATTAGACAATGGATAGAAGAAATAATGAATCAGAAAACTGAATTTAATCTGGAAACTTTTTTATTAAGTATAATAACACAAAAATGCAATAAAACAGATAGATATATTATGTTACATATATTAACAGCTGCAAGGATTTTGTACGAACAACTCTGGAAGGAAAAAAGGGTTCCACCAGAAGGCATGGTTATAAAAAAATAATAATAGATTGTATAGAGATGGACAGGCTAACAATGAAAATAAAAGACAGAGAAGATTCATTTTATTATAGGGCCTGGGATGCCTGGGATGAGTGGCTTAGAAATAAAAAGAAAAGAAAATGGCGATTAGGAAAAGAATGAGGGAATATGTAAATATACCATGGAGAAGATCGAGATGTAAGGATAAAAGACATTGATTTATAGTAAAAGTAAGATGTAATGGTAAAGGAATAAGTAAATATACTGAAAAATGTGAGGAGATGCAAAAGATGTCTTGATGTTGATAACAATGTATAAAGTTTTATTTTATGTTTTTAAAATTTGAAAACTTAATAAAATTTATTTTTTTAAAAAGAAAGATAGCCTGGCCATGTTGCCAAGTCATTCACCCTTCCAACTCTATTATCTATGTTCTGTGTGTTTTAAATCAGAACAATACAGATGGCTGGACCACACATGCATTAAATTCATGACCTGTATGATCAAGCTGCATCATTGTCCCCACCTGTATCTTTTCCCCCAGGAAGAAACAAGAAGTAGCCAACACTGCAGCAACTATAAAAGGTCTTGGGGAACTCCAGGGAGTATCAGCTGATCACAGAAGTGTTACTTAATGCTCTTTATAATGAAAATGTTTATAATCTTGTCCTTCCTGAAGAGAAGAGGTTAATCCCATCCCTAGATGGGTGTTTGATAGGTTTCCCTGTCCTAATCCCGTCAGTTTCTGTTGTTTATTGACTTGATTCACTGTGTATGGCTGCACTCCAGCTGCAACTGTTAAGTGGCTTTTGGTTGTCTGCCTGGAGCTATTAACTGAAGGGGAGAGAGAGAGAGAGAGAGAGAGAGAGAGAGAGAGAGATATGAACCCTCTCTTGCATATTATTTTTAGCCGGTTCTCCGAACAGCATAAGCAATTAACTAATGTTCGGGCGAACCGGTGAGAACCGGCTGAATCACGCCACTGATAGTCTCCTTAAGCTGGTCTGAGGACTACTTGTGTGGAAGAAAGAAAGGAGTGGTTTTCTGCCTATTCTTAAAGGATTTTCTTCTCTTTTGAGAGATTGTCCTTGAGGAGATATTTTACTCTGGGTAGGGGATTCTCTTTACAATTCAAAATTTGGTTTGAAATGTTTAATTATGAGCCCAGAAAGCTGAGCAGTCAACTTTGATTATCCTATCAATGGAAAGATGTGTCACTACTTGTTCCCCCTGCATCAGCCTGTCGACTGTGCCTGGCACCATCTCTTAATTCTAATTGGCATTATCTACTTCTGCCAACTTTCTTCACCTTGCCTGATCACCATAACTAACCCAAGCATGTATAGTGGTCACGCAATACGAATTCAGAATTGAGAGAAATGTGCCAGATAAGCAAGTGCGGCTAGTAGAAGCAATTGGCTGGCAATTGGAAGATAGTGGAACTGCAGGAAGGTGGGTGGGTGGAAACAGGGAAGCCAGGCAGTGAAGCTGGCAGAAATGGGCAGCCTGGTGAAGAAAGAGACAGTGCCAAGTCAAGTTCATGATTCCACAAACTGAACCTGTTTACAGGAAGTGGGCCTTGGCAGGTATGAGAGAAGTAAGAACCCATTTCTTGTATTCTTGCACTCAACAATCCAGCTGGATCATTATGACAAGGTAGGCACAGAAAAAAGATAGATGTTTTTCAATCGTAATGGTAGATCCTGCAAATGGACAGACCCAGCGAAGAGGCAACCATTGAATATTTGTCTTTCTCGGGCTCTTTTGAACAGTGGTGGGATTCAAAATGTTTTACTATTGGTTCTGTGGGCATGTCTTAATGGGCATCACAGGGGAAGGATACTGTAAAATCTCCATTCCCACCCCACTCCAGGGGAAGGATACTATAAAATCTCCATTCTCTCTCCACCCCACTAACCTGCTTTCCAGCTCCATTCTCCTGTGCAGGCAACAAAAGAAGACCCAGCTGATCAGGATCTCGGGAGGCAGAGAAAAGATGGGGGTAGGGCCAGTCAGAGGTGGTATTACAAACTACTCAAAATTTCCGCTATCGGTTCTCCAGAACTGGTCAGAACCTGCTGAATATCACCTCTGCTTTTGAAACAAAACTGCGACAGAAGCAAGCCAATTCTAATGTAAAGTGAGAAAAAGCATAGGAGCAGGAAAAAGCAAGAAGACAACTCATAATAAAATGGTTCTGAGAATCAGAGAATTTACTGAGTTGATTACTTTTATTGGTCAATTGCTCATGTCTGCTTACAGAACCCATCATCCCTCCCCAACAATCTCCACTGCAGAAGTAACTGCTCTATTATGTACTGTATTACCAAGATTAGAAGCAACAAAAACTCCCTTACAGCACTAATTTAAATTGGTGTCCTACGGTTCAATTCAGCTCTTAGAATGGTTCCAATGGTTTCTGTCAAGGTTCCTTTCCTTACAGAATCTTATAACTTTTGCAAACTGTTTGCTCCTCTGCTACCATTTTTCTCCACCTTGCTGTTACCTTGGCCACCTTCTGAAGCTTCAGGCTTTTCTAAATTGTATGAACTACATTTATAGCTGTTATAGAATTATAAAAATAGTTAAATAGTTAAATTATTAATTTGTGCAACTCAATTATATAAACAACAATCAAGTAGACAATTAACATTCCTGGAATAATGAAAGTTAAAACACCTAAAATCAAGCTCTTCTCTGGGACCTTTTGAAATAAAACATTCTATTTAGAACTCTTTGCTTCCCACCCCAATATTTTCAAGCCTTCTCCTCCTCCTCCCTGTCCCTCTTCCCACTACTTCTCCTCCCCTCCCCATCTTCTCCTCCTCCTCCTCCTTCCCCTGAACTATCAGATGACCTCTTCTAGTGGTTTCACGTAGAACTTAAACATCTATTTATGCATCTTTCATACAACTTCATCTAGCTGGAGAAGTAAAGAATTCCCGAAAATCATATCCCTAAGCAGAAGTTGCAAGAGAGGTAACCAACAAAATGTGTTGATACTTCCCCAATATAAATTATCATGAAATCTTGACTCTTGAATTGGTTCAACTCAAAATATATTGCCTTTGAATCACCATCTGAATGGAACCATGCCACTCTCAAATCTGAATTGGAACTTGGTTCATATATGCCCAAGTATAAAATAGTAGATTTTGGACAACATGTTTTTT